GGCTCACCCTGACACTGGGAGCAATCCTGAGTTCTGAGCTCCACTGGTCCCTCTCCAAGACCCTCTCCTGGGGGATGGCTGAACCCCAATATCTCACCAGGCACTGCAGTCCACTGTGCACTGGTGTGTTTCTCTCTGGCATCTCCAGGTTTGAGCTGCCCCCCCCACGCCGTGAGTCAGGACACAGAGAGAAAGACACCTCCTTCCTTTGGGCTGAGGTCTCACTCCTCACCCTCCCAGGGGGCTCAATTCTCACTTAAAATCCTCGATGAGTCCTGGTACCCATTTCCCTCCTTCTTTTCATCCTCACATTCAGCATCTGAACACCAAATCTCAGAGACCTCTTTCTCAGCATCTTCCTGGAAGTCTCTTGCTTTGGAAAGAAAAAATTAACTATTTTTTGTTTTGTTCTGATTTGGTTTGTGAAAGAGGCTCTAATTATATAGCCTACTCTAGTCTCAAACTTAGGGTAATCCTCCTGCCTCAGCCTCCCAACTGTTGAGATTCCAACTTTGTGCTACCACACTGAGCCCTCCTCATTTGATTAGAAAAGCATCCTCAAACACTTGTTTCCATCTGTGCCATCTTGCTCCATTTTTCAGGTAGCATCTAGATCATAAGTGTTTGGCATTTTCACTATGGTATATAACCCAAGCTAGCCTCAAACTCACAGTGATCCTCCTGCCTCAGCCTCTAGAAGGCTGAGGTCATAGGGCTTTGCCCCGACACCCAAGCTGATTTTGGCATTTTGATGTATATAAACACAAAAGACTATTTTTGGTCGGAGTTTAGATCTAATAAGCACCAAAATTCCTTTGCAACAAAAAACACTGCTCAGAGCTGGAAACAGTAATACTCATTTCACAGACTCTGGGGTAAGACCAAAGTCTGAGCTCACCAAGAAAAGACAGACTGGGCCTCTGCCCTGGGAGCATGGCCTTGCTGGGGAAACCACTGGGAAACAAGCAGACCCAGAACATCAACTGCCAAGAGCCAGGAAGGTAGCTGGGCACGGTAGTGCCTACCTATTGCCTCAGCTCTGGAGCCTGGCCTGGCCTACACACTGAGCTCAAGGCCAGCTGAACTTTATAGTGAGACACGGTCTCAAAAAAAAAAAAAAAAAAAAAAAAGCCAGGCATCGCAGCTCTTGCCTGTAATCTCAGCACTCTGGAGGCTGAAGCAGGAGGGCTGTCATGAATTCAAGGGCAGCCTGGCTACAAATTGAGTTCAAGGTCAGCCTGAACTGCATAGTGTGGTCCTGTCTCAAAAAGACCAAAAAAAAAAAAAAAAAAAAAGGAAAGAAGAAAAAAAGCTAGTGCCAGGAAGGAAGAGTGGAAATGAGGAAGCCCAACAGACCTAACCTGTGGGAGTGGTAGGAAGTGGGCCTTTAGTTTTATTTTTGCCACTGCTAGGGATCAAGCCCAAGGCCTGGCACATGCTAGGAAGAAGTCCTCTGCCATGTAGCTGCCCCAGCCCAGGAAGCAACATTGAAATTGAGACTTGAAGGATGGACTTCCACAGCCAGCAACCAAGGGGAAGAAGCAGAGCGGGGCCTGGGAGAGGCTGAGGGAGGGGCAGGGCAGGACAGGTTGGGCAGGTAGAGGCTGCCCTCTGAAGGCTGGGATGACTACCTGCTCCACATCAGGAGGCTAAGACAGTCCCGACTGCCCCAGCCACCTATGAACAATTCCCTGCCTGCCCACCTTTTTTTCTTTCCTTTGCTCTCCTGTCTCTCCACCCAAACCTTCCAATAGATGGAACCCAGGTCTTTCAGACTGAGCTACATCCCCAGCCCTGTTGATTTTTAAATTTTGAGACCTGGTCTCTTTAAGTCACAAATTTGTCCAGGCTGAGCTCAAATTTGCAATTCTTCTGCCTCAGCATGCTGCAATTTTGGATATGCACCACTATGCCAGGGTCCCTCTGCTTACATGTATGTCTCTATGTATTTATTTCTGTCTTTTTGAGACAGGGTCTCCTGTGCAGGTCAGGCTGGCCTCAAACCAGCAGTGATCCCTCCTGCCTCTGCCTCGCAAGTGCTGCACATACAGAGGTGTACCATCATGTCTGGACAGTCTATTTTATTCTCTACTGAAGAGCTTCACTAAGATCTACAGCTTTTTCCTACAGCAGATTTAAAATTCACATAACCAAACCTTCTACAGAGATGCAGAAGGAAAAACTCACACACAGCTGAGATAAAAAGCATTTGTCTTCAGCAGGCGGGATGCTCAGCCCTGCAATCCCAGCATTTGGAAAGCTGAGGCAGGAGAATCAACACAAATTCAAAGCCTGCTTGTACTACATAGTGAGTACAAAACCAGCCTGAACTACATAGCAAGACCCTTTCTCAAAAAACAACAAAACAAGCCAGGTGTGGTGGCTCCCACCTGTAATCCCAGCACTCCGGAGGCTGAGACAGGAGGATCTTTGCAAGTTTGAGACCACCTGGGCTACAAAGTGAACTGAATGATGAGATCCTGTCTCAAAAGGACAAAACAAAAAGCAAGCTTTTGCCTCCTGCTAATTTGATGCTAGCTGCTTTATTTACAGAAATGCAAGGCTCCAGGAATAGCAGGCAATACTACGATGCATTCGGGCCATAGTCAGGGACCACAAAGTGTCTTTTTATTAAAGTGACAACCAGGGACCTAAAAGCCATCTCTGCTCTGCATACTGAGCTTTTCTCTCAGGCCCACGGTAGCTTAAACTGAACCACGTCTGACCTTCCTCCATGTCATCTGTCACTGTCAATCCTGGGTCCAGTCTCTCCAGACTCTGCACAGGTCACTAGGGAGAGTCCAGTCTTCTAGCTCATCCCACATTGAGACTGAGCACACATTAAGACTAAGACATTCCCAGGGCCACCCAGCTATACCTAGCAGCCTCTGGCCTTGTCCCAACCCTGTGGTCACCTGGATTCTGGGAATGGCAGAGGCCATGTGTCTGAGATCTCTTGTCGGAGAGGGACAGTCCTTCCCAGGAAGGAGCCCATCCCTCAGCCATGATTCTAGAGCCAGAGCACTGGGACAGAGCTGAAGGTCACCTCACCCAGGCCACCAACTATTGCTCAGAAGCCACCCTGCTGCCTTGCAGGTGGCTGCCTGAACCTCCATCAGTGTCCTTTCCAGCTGCCTTCTGCTTACTTACTGATTAAAGCTTTTTTTAGTGACTTTGTGCTTAAATTTCCACTATTATTAAAGCAAGTGATCCTAGACTAAGGACACTGCACAGTAACCAGCTCGTTGTCCAGGGATGAATCTGCCAGTATCTGGAGACCAGATTTTTTTTATCAGTACGGGGGATCGAACTTAGGACCTTACATTTGCCAGGCAGCTCCTTGTGCTGCTGAGTAGAACTCTTAGCCCCTTATTTCGTTTTGTTTCTTGGTATCAGGGGATCAAACTCACGGCCTCATGCTTGTTAGGCAGGGGCTTACACCACTGAGCTAAATTCCCAGCCCTTATTTTGATGTTTTGGAGATGGGGTCTCACTCTGTCATTTAGGCTGGAATTGACTTCACTATGGAACCCAGGCTGGCCTTGAATCCACAGTGATCCTCCTGCCTCAGCTTCCTAATTGCTGGGATTATAAGGGTCTCCCAGCTTGCCCGGCTGGAATGCTTTACCTGAACAACTACCAAAACATACAGGGGGAAATGGTGATTTTTGGTGTTTGTGGTAAATTGGGTATCCCAGCAGCTCATGCTATCCAAGGAAATGGATGCCCCTGCAACCAAGAATCATCCAACTGAAGTGTCACAAGGGCAGATGTCAGAAAAACCTGGTCTAGGTCAAATACCGAAGTGACTTTTATTTCCAGTGCTGGGGAATGAGCCTGGTTCTCACTGTACTCCCCAGTATGACTGTTGAGCTATATCTCCAGCCCTGTTGACTTTTTTTTTTTGGTACCGGGGATCGAATTCATGACCTTGCACTTGCCAGGAAGGCACGTATGCCACTGAGCTAAATCCCCAACCCTGATTTTTTTAAAATTAAGTTTATCTGGGGGGCCGGGATTTAGCTCAGTGGCACAGTGCCTGCCTGGCAAGTACAAGGTCATGAGTTTAATTCCCGGTACCAAAAAAAAAGTTTATTAGTACATCTAGGTATACAGGACGATCACTCATCATGGGGAATTTTTACCTATACATGATATAATTTGATTCTTGTTCTTTCTTTCTCAATCCCCTCCCCTCCCTTCAACCTATTAGCTGTTGAAAAACTGAAAAATTTTAACCAAAAGCCTTTTGAATTTTTGTTTCAAAACAGTCATTTTGGGGCTGGGGATTTAGCTCAGCGGCATAAGCGCCTGCCTTGAAGCAGGCAGTCGCGAGTTCAATCCCCGGTACCGATAAAAAAAGAAAAAGACAAAATTTTTTTAAAACCCCAGTCATTTGCATTTGGAACAAAATATTTTTCCTAATGTAGTATATGTTAGGAAACAAGTTTGTTAGGGTTTTTTTCTTTTGAAACAGCTTCACACTATGCATTTCAGGCTGCCCTCGAACTCTCAGCAATTATCCTGCTTCAGTCTCCGGAGTGCTGGGATGACAAGCGTGCGTCACCATACCCGATTAGCGATGTCATTTTCTTTTTTCATCTGCAATGTTTTACACCAACGAATTCAGGAAAAAAGGGCAATGTCTGGTCTCTGTTCTAAGTATCCCAAGACTCCTCCCGCCACTGTCTAGAAACCTGAACTCACGGTTAAGAGCTAAACCTCTAAGATTCTTCCTTCCTCTCCTCACATTTTCAATTTAAATTTTAGAAAATTAACCACCGCTGCAACAACTGCGCAACAGGACGCGCGCACAGACACACAGCGCCGTGATTCAGGCGCCCGCCCGACTCCGTGACGGTGCGGCCGCTTCCCCCAGAACTTGGCGCACAGCAGAGTCGCGGACAATAGTGCGACGCCACGTCCGCGGTCAGCCCAAACCTTGCTGTCCCTGTTGCACCTCCTCTCGCCCTGCCGCGCCGCCCTCTCATCGCAAGAAAAGCCCCTCCGCCGCTGCGGACAGCGGAAGCGGCCAACCGCGAGACGCTGACGTAAAACAGCCGGGTGGTGGTGTCGCCCACGTGACTGAGCCTCGACCAATCACAGATCGCATCTCGTGCGCCCTCAGGCGGGCGGGCTGCACGGGAGTCTGGGGGCGGGGTTTCGAGGCCCGCACGCCTTGCGCCTGCGTGCGGGTTGAACAGTGTGGTCGGGTGGGTGCCGGCTGGCCCCGCCCCTTAGGCGAGGCTCCGCTGTGTTGGCGCCATTTTGAGGCAAAGAGGAGCCAGGGAGGCTGCGGTGGGGTGCGCAGGTTTGGAGCGATTATACTTCGTATACGTATTTTGTTTTTGTTTTTGTTTTTTTTTGGCAGGGGGGTCAAGGTCTCCTTACAGCTTAGGTCTGTCGCCCAGGCTGCCCTCCACCTCAGGGCGATGCTTCTGCCTCAGCCTCCTGAGTGCTGTAATTAAAGTGTGCTCCACCACGCCCCGCTCTGCCTTTTCATGCACTGTATTTTATGATGGAATTTTCAGAGCAGGCTTGAGATTTAAATATTGTTAAAATGTCACATTGCACACAAGGAAACTGAGACGCCCGTGCAGGGCCGTCAGTTTGCATCCTCAGTCACTTAAGACTCTTCGTTTCTTCGTGGATCATTGTTGATTTAAAATAGCAACTCTGTTTTAAAGTAAGCGGTTTATTCGCACTCAACATGAGTAACCATGGCCAAGGAACGTGGATTCAGTTGGCCTGGGTGCGGTGGCCGCAGTGGGCAGAAAGGGAACTGTGGAGGCCACAGGATGAAAGTCACTGATGCAGTGGCAGGAATACAAGGTGGCCGTGACGTTTAGATTTTGGCTCTAGCTGAGTGTGGGAGTGTATGCTTATGATCCCTGCACTCGGAAGGCTGAAGCAGGAGGATCTCCCACACACACACTTCCAGACCAGACTGAGCTACACAGTGAGACCCTGTCTCAACAAATAAAAGGTGGCAAGAACGATGGGATAAATGGCTTTGAAGCAAGGGGGAAGATTTTGAAGGGGATTGATGGCTGTGAACTTTTTTTACTGTAATTGTTTTTAAGTATTCAGTGTGTAAACTGGGTTCAGTGGTCACCACGCCTACCTGGGATTTATGAGTGTCATCCTTTTGTGGAATAAAATCCATAAATGAAATTACAACAAGCCAAGTGTGGTAGCATATAACTATAGCTCCAGGATTCTGGAAGGCTGAGACAGGAGAGTTGTAATTTGTGTCAAAAAATGAAAAGATCTGGGGATGTAACAGCCTGAGGCCCTCGGCTCAATCCCTGGTACCCAAAACAAAGCGAAACATTTGACTACAATGTAAAACATTCGTTGTTTTAGTTTTTATGAGACAGGGTCTTGCTATCTATATATATAGTCCAGGCTGGTCTTGAACTCACTGTGTAGCCAAGGCTGGTCTCAAACATGTGGTGATCCTTCTGCCTCAGCCTTCTAAATGCTGGGATTATAAACATGTCACCGCACCCAGCTCCCATGTAATACTTCTAGATGCAAGAGTCTACGAACAGATTAAAAATAGGCGGGAGGTCCGGGGGCAGGGATTTAGCTCAGGGCTCAAGCCTTGTCTGGTAAGTGTGAGGTCATGAGTTAGATCCCCAGTACCAAAAGAATAAAAACAAAACTGGTGGGACAAATTGCAAAAAAAAAAAAAAAAAAAAAAAAACCCGGGGCTGGGGATTTAGCTCAGCGGCATAAGCACCTGCCTTGCAAGCAGGCAGTCGTGAGTTCGATCCCCGGTACCGATAAAAACGAAAAAGACAAAAAAAAAAAAAAAAAAAACCCACAAAAAAACTTGTAACACTTCTAAGAATATTAATAAAATATAAGAATGCAAATCAACAAAGAACCAAACAAATGGGAGCAAAGGATGTGAAAATAATTTTCAGGAGAAATTTAAATAGCTAATAAATGCACGAAGATGTACCAATCATCAATGAAATGCAATTTAAAATCCTATTATAAACAAAACAAAACAAAAATCCTATCATACACCAGGATGATGGTACATACCTGTAATCCCAGCATTTGGGAGGTTGAGGCAGGAAATCACTGAAAATTCAAAATCAGCCCTCTTACTAAGTGAGCTCAAATCCAACCTGAACTGCATAGCAAGATCCTATCTCAAAAAGACCAAAACAAACAAACAAAACTCCTACCATAGTTGGCCATGTGGCACACACCTATAATCCCATTACTCAGAAAGGATGAGGCAGGAGGATTTCAAATTCAAGCCTAGCCTAGGCACCTTAACAATTTAGTGAAACCCTGTTGCAACAGCAAATGGAAACAGCAAAGTGTCACCCATGATTTGGAGGCAGATTTATTTAACGTCAGACAGACACTGACAAGGAATCAATCCTTATAAAAATGTCAGGCCCTGATCTTTGGTAATTCAGGGCTTATATAGGATAAGCAAGCAGGAAGTGTGGAAACAGAGTACTTGGCTGCCTTTGATTGGGTCTTACAATATGCAGCACAGTGCCCAACTGTAAGAAACAGAAGTAACAGAAACTGTAACAGGAACTGTTACCTGGGCAACTAACAGGAACTAAAGTGTACTGGCTGGGGCTGGGGGCAGCATTTTCTGTTGCACTGTCTCAAAATTAAAAAAAAAAAAAATATATAAGCCAAGTGGGGAACTTGAAGCTCAATGCTTAGGCCCTGGGTTCTGTCACCAGCACTGCATACACACACACAAAAAAAAACTATTAAAAATACATACGTGGGGGCCAGGGATTTAGCTCAACGGCATAAGCACCTGCCTGGCAAGTTGGAGGTCGTGAGTTCGATCCCCAGTACCAAAAAAAAAAAAAAAAAGAATTTTTAAAATTCCATATCCATATATGCATGTGTGTGTGATTCCCCCCATTATAGTGACAGAATCTAAACATAAAACAATGTGTTTTGAGATGATGGGAAATCTAGTGAAAGCATATATTGCTACCAACACCTGCAAAGGAAATTGGCAATTGCCATAAAATGTAGAAATTCTCATTCCTCCCTTGAGGAATTCCGCTTAACCAAGAGCAGTGACCAGGCTTGTGGAGAGACATTACATAAATCTTTGTTCGAACTGGAAGTATTTTATCATAGGCCATTTCTACCATATAGCAATGAAGAGAGTAATCTCCCCCACATTTTTATTTTTCATACTGGGAATTGATCACATGGCAGCTATACACTGAGCTACATCTGCAGCTCTTTATATTTTTTATTCTGAGAGAGAATCTCACTGAGTTTCCAAAGCTTGAACTTGGGATCCTCCTGCCTCAGCCTCCTGAGGAGCTGGAGTCACAGGCCTGGGTCACTGCACTGGACCTTTATTTTACCTATCCCTTGGCCCACTCTACCCCTCCTTTTGGCTTGACTGTTTTAAGGCAACTCCTAGGCATTCTGTTATTTCACCTGTAAATACTTCATTGTGCACCCCTGGAAAATATAGGCTTTCATATAATCTTATCAAACCTGTTCATTTTTTGTCTTAAAATGTCTTGTTCATTTGTTTAAATTAGGATTCCAAAAATTTTTGTGCATTGTGGTTGGTTGACTGTTTGTTTGTTTGCTTTTGAGATGGCCTGATCTGTAATGCAGGGTGGCTTGAACTCACTATGGAGCCCAGGCTGGCCTTGAACTCAGTGATCTCCTGCCTCAGTCTCCAGAGTGCTGAGATTACAGGTATGCACTACCACCTTGGTTGGTGATAGGCATCTCTTAAACCTTTTAAAATCTGTAAGGAAGAACCTCCTCTTTCAAAAGTGCTATCTATTTGTGGGAGAAATCAGGTGATTTGCCTGAACTCGCTGTCCTTATTCTGGACGTGGCTGGCACCTGTGGCATCTGCACCATTTTCAGTCATCTTTAGGATCCTTTAAGCTGTGGTCTGGAGGATTCATGAGGTTTAGGCTCAGTGTCCACAGGGAGACTGAGGCCGTGGTCCATTTCCCCCTGGCTGTCCCCAGCCCATGGCCGGAGCTCAAGGCCCGGCATCATTTGCAACCATTGGGCGATTTCCTGTATGTTTTGGGGTGCAGCAGACACCTGGAAACCCTCTCCCATTCATATGGGACCAGACTCCCATACATTAGAGGGTTTCATTTGAGAATTAGGAACTCACCCGTGTTTGTATTCTTGCTTCTGTTCAGATTTCCTAAAATGACAACCTGGGACCTCCAGAGAGGAAAGGGCTGTCCTGGCTTTGCATTTTTGTTTTGTTTGTTTGTTTTGAGGCAAAGTGTCACTGGGTAGCTCAGAATACCCTGGAACTTGCAGCAACCCTCCTGCTTCAGCCTCCTGAGTGCTGGGTTACTGTCTGCTGTGCTGTGGGCTCTTTCTCCTCTGCTGTGTCACCCTGTGTCACAGCCAGCCGACTATGGACTGATCTCTCTACACCCTGTGAGCCAAAATAAACCTGTTGTCATTTGCTTTGTGTTTGTCAGCTATTATCTCCAGAATACCTGAATTCTCTTTGAAGAAAAACTGGTAAAACATGCAGAATCCAGTTCACCATCTTGGCCCCCAAGTGGAAGCAAGCTGTTTGACGTATGTCCCCACGGCAGTGTGGCCAGTCTCCAGAGCTTCTCACTTTATAAAGCAAAAACATGAAAATGATTTTCCACTTCTCACTAAGAACTGCTTTCCCACAGATTATTTTCACTTTCCAACTGAGAAAGCACAATGTTCTTGGCAACCCTGTGCTGTCCCTCCCTGGATGAGGAGCCCGGACTGAGCTAACAGGTCACCTGCAGCAGAGCCCAGACAGATGACCTGGGTCACCCTGAAGCTCCTGCCTGTGACACAGGGTCCCTCTTAGGAGGACAGGACCCTGGAACTTGCCTTGGGACAAGTTTCACCCTTGCATGAGCCCTGACTGGATGCCTAGAGGACCACGGCTGGTAGCCCTGCGTGGCCCTGGATATCAGCCTGCCTTTCGCTGGGCAGAGCAGGGGCCAAAGCCTAGGAAGGTGGGATGACTGCTGGATGCCCCGAGGCCAGGTGGTGGCAGCCAGGCTGGCACCAGAACTGGGTCCCCAGGATGCCCAGGGCACTCTGCCATGAGCAGTTCCACCTGTGTCTTGAGTACTTTTCTCTCATTGCTGGGACAAATACCTGACACCCAAAATGAAGGAAGGAAAGGTTTATTTGGCTCACAGTTTGTGGAGGTTTCAATCTGTAATCAACTGGCTCCAAGGCAGGGTGGCATGGCACAGGGCAACAGTTCAACGTGGCAGAAGACAGCAAAGGCAGCAAGAGCTAAAAGTGGGGCAGAGGAAGCCTCTTCTCCTCCCTTATATGGCAAGCACCCTCGGATGGGTATAGCACTCACACCACCTCTGTGCACAGGCAGAGGATGATGACAAAGTGAGGACCCTGGCCCCTACTGAGTCATTTAGTTAAATTTCTTTTTTTTTTTTTAATCAGTACCAGGGATCCAACACACGACTGCCTGCTTGCAAGGCAGGTGCTTATGCCGCTGAGCTAAATCCCCAGCCCTACTTAAACTTCTAACCTCCTTAAATTTACACGGTGAACAATATCCTAGAGCAGTGATGGCTTGTCCTCTACATCCCAGGATGCAGCTCTGCTGAGTTACTTAGTTAAACCTCTAGACTCCTCAAATTGACACAACATCAGCCATAACAATTCACCCCTCTCGATTTGGCCACCAGACATATTTCTTTAAACTGGTTTCCAACGACAGAGACATGTTTGTTCTTATCATTTCATGACCTGAACATTGTAACAGATTTAACAATCCTTCAGAATCAATATTAAGTCTATCAACCTTATAGTACATTAGAACAATAACATTCCATCCCTGGACTCTGAGAGTTGCCAAAGCCCTAACAGTTTCAGCATTGCTGAAAAGTAGTTCCAAGGGCCAGGGATTTAGCTCAGTGGCATAAGTGCATGCTTGTGCAAGTTTGTGAGTTCAATCCCCAGTATCTCTCTCTCTCTCTCTCTCTCTCTCTCTCTCACACACACACACACACACACACACACACACACACACACACACACAAGTTTAAGTTCCAAGTCTCCTCCGAGATGTAAGACAAACTCTTAGCTGAGAGCCCCTGTACAAATGAAAACAAAGTCCAACACTTCCAACATTCAATGGCACAGGGTAAACATTACAAACGTTACAAACAGGGATAGCAAAGGATTGGGACCAAAGCAAGTCCAAAATCCAGCAGGGCAAACATTAAGTTCTGTAGTTCCACATCTAGCATTTGAAGAAATCTGTAGCAAACTGTGAGCTCCAAGGGGTTTGAGTGATTCCACCCCCACAGCAGTCTGGTGGTCACAGCTCTCACAGCCTCTCTCTTAGGCCCACTGTGCTATTTCTTGCAGTTTTCCTTCAGTGATCTACATTCCTGACTTTGGCAAACTTCTGAGTTCTCCATTGCACCCTCAGTTTCACACGCTGCCCTCTGATGGGCGCACTGCCTGGCCTCCTGGGCCTTATGACATTGGGGTAGAACCTGTCATAAGCTCAGAACTCTTGCACTCTGCATGCACCTAAAATCAGCACCACGTGGATCAGCACCAAGGTCTGCTGCCAGTTAGAGCAGCAGTCAGGCTTTCCACTCTCAGCTGAGGGGTCCAGTGCAGATCACAGGGAACTCTCAATGCATTTCTGAGGAACAAGTTTTCTGTGCTGCTGTCATTCTGGAACATGATGCTCTGAGGCTTCCTCAGCAAAGCAAAGTCTCACTCTTGCAGTTTTGAGCTGCAAATAGTGGAGATTGCTGCTTTTTGTGGTTCCCTAAGGCCATCTTTTATATTCTCTTGTTTCTTCTCATCTCAGCAGTGGAGGTCTCCTCAGCTCTATCTTTGTAGTTCACACCTTTATTGGTGCTTCACTTCTGGTCAAACTCACAATGTTTTACATCATCTTGCTGGGCTCTTTGCTCTTGATTTGCAATATATATCTGGCTAAAAGCTGCCAACAATAGCCATGCCACAGCCTTAACATATTTGACTGCCTTAAAATTTCTTCTACCAGATTAATTAGTTCACTGCCCTTAATCTTAGTCTCAGGCCAAGTCTATGGACATGAGCAAAACACACGTTTTGCCAAGCCATCACACGCATCATTTGGAGTCAAGCACCTAATGTGGTCCTTTCTAGCAGAAACCTGGGCCTGGGTCATTGGATTTCTGTCAGCCTTCTGGTCTTCTGAGCTCTGACCAGAATCATGCAGAATAGCCTAAGAAGTTCCAGCTCTACTGTTTCAAGTGATATTTCTAAATCCTTCCAAACTCTTCCCACAAGCCATTCCCAAGGGCTCTTGAACTATATGGTAAAGTATACTTACAGCAATGATCTCACTCCTGGTACCAGATTGTCTTGGTTACTTTCCTTTCATTGCTGAAATAAAATACCCAACACCCAAAATTAAAGAAGGAAAGTTTTGGGGGCTGGGGATTTAGCTCAGCGGCATAAGCACCTGCCTTGCAAGCAGGCAGTCGTGAGTTCGATCCGATAAAAAGGAAAAAGACCAAAAAAAAAAAAAAAAAAAAAAAAAAAAAGAAGGAAAGTTTTATTTAGCTCACAGTTTGTGGTGGTTTCAGTCCATAATCAGTAGGCTCCAAAAGCAGTGACACAGTGCAATACTTTAAGTTGGCAGAAGACAGCAAAGGCACCAAGAGCAAAAAGTAGAGAATAGTAAGCCTCTTTTCCTCCCTTACATTGAAAGCAAGCTACACCATCTCCATGCCTACCTCCTGCACAGGCTCAGGATTTTTGCAAAGGAAGGCCCTTGACACAATGTATCAACCATAATAATGAGGCAAGAGCTTCTGCAAGGCATGCATCTAGCTGGGGGGTGGGGAGGGACACAGGCACTCTTCCTTCTCTTACTGTGTCCTCTGCATTTCACAGACATAGGGACTGGGCCACCAAGGACAGATCCCAGGCTGAGCTGGGGCCAGGCGCAAGGCCACCCCTGCAGGGAGTACAGCTGTCAGGCCCCTGGTGACCCTCAGGAGAGGCTGCTCCTTTCAGGAGGGGTCTGTCCCTCCCTGCTCCTCAGGGCCACTGTTTTCAGCCAGGGGATGGGCTCTGCCACTCTGGGAGCCCTGGTCACACAGGCTAATGCCTGTGGTCACCCTGCTGAGGCTGTAGGAGTTGTCACGGGCTTGGCGGTGGCTCCGGGTTCCAAGGCCCAGGGCATCCCGGAAGCTCTCTCAGAAGCAACTGGACATGAGGCTGTAGAGCACAGGGTTGGCGGCCAAGCCAAGATAGAAGATGCCGGGCACAGCATGTACATACTGGAAGGGCAGCAGCAGGCCCTCTGTCCACTGCGATACGAAGCTCCACATGAGGCGGTCAATGTGGAATGGGGCCCAGCAGATGCCAAACACTATCACAGCACAACTGGGGGACAGAGAAAGGGCTGGGAGGGCCTCTCCCACTTCCCAGCTCCCCCAGCCCCGCTGAATAACGTTTGCTGTGGCTTTGTTTTTGAGATGGCTTCTCACTGTGCTGTTCAGGCTGGCCTTGAACTCACTGTGTAACCCAGGTTGGCCTGGAACTCATGGAGATCCTCCTGCCTCAGCCTCCTGAGGACTGGGATTACAGGTGTGTGCCACCATGCCTGGCTCAGCTGTGTTTCTCACCGTTTGTGTCTCCAGCTCACCATCTCTCCTCTGCAGTGTCTTCCCCATCTATCCCTCCCCCCAGCATGGTTTTCCCCAGAATCCCAGATGCCCTATAAGTAATGTCACCCCCACAGCCCGGCATACAGGACAGGAGAGAAAGGCAAGAGAGAAAGCCATCCAGTCCAGGCCAGCAAGTGAGGCTGAGGGCCAGCATGCCCAGGCCCTACAGGGTACCCTGGGTCGGGAGGGAATGGGTCCCCTCCCAGTCCCTCTCCCTGCCTCTTCTGTGGTGGCTGCCGAGTCTCACAAATGCACTTCCTGAGAAGCCTCTTTCTAATTTTTCCCCTTAGTACTGGGAGTCGAATCCAGGGTCATCATACCGAGCTACATCCCAGACTCTTTACATTTTTACTTAGAGCTTTGAGATTGGGTCTTGCTAAATTGTCTAGACTGCTTAGAACTGTTTATTTGTTTGTTTTTTGAGACAGTTCAGCCTGGCCTCGAATTCCCAGTGATCCTCCTGCCTCAGCCTTCCAGAGTGCTGGAATGACAGGTGTGCATCACCATGCCCAGCATCTAAGAAGCCCCTCTTAGGCAGACAGTATCCCATGAGTTCCAGGGAACACTGTAGTGAGGAAATTCATCCTCCTGCCCCTCTTTAGGGGAAACCGTTTCCCCAAATCCCACCGTGCGTTCTTACAGGGTCTAACACCTCTGTTCAGAAGCCTGGCCCACGCGAGGGCATGGCCTAAACCCCACCAATCAGAACCTGTCCCCGAGTCTCCTGGGCGGTCCGTGGAGGGGCAACTCTCCAGGAGGGGGCGGAGCCCGCGGACTGCTATGGGAAGGACAGTCTGGATGTCCAGGTCCGGTTCGTTCCTGTTGCCTTTCCTGGGGGCCAGTCAATTTTGGGGTGCACAAGCCGCACACATGTGCACAGGGTCCCCAGCTCGGAAGGGCTCCGGGCTGGGTTTCATGCTCCCCCGTTGCTGTCCTGGCTTCTTAGTAACCCTAAAGGAAGGGTCCTAAAGAGACACAACCCGCGCTGTCCTCAGCCAAGCCCCCCCCTCCCCCAGGGGCGGGGCTTGTGGAAGGTGACTAGGTCCCCGGGATGTGCCCTGAGGGACACCTCCTGCCCCACCCTGAGCAGCAGTCCCCTGCCCAGCCCTCCTGCCGAGCCTGCTGAACATGGACAGAAATTTCCAGAAACACGCGAGCCAAAATACACTCCTGCGCCTCCACTTGGTCGGTGCTGGGTCTTGGGCCTTGGCAACAAGGAAGTCACTGGGGCAGCCACTAACGTTTATCTCTGGTGTAAGTTGCTGGGCAGACAATCTAAGAGTCCAATGGCCAGGCGTGGTGAAACTCCCTGCAATCCCAGCGCTCAGGAGGCCGAAGCAGGAAGATTGCTGTCAGTTAGAGGCCAGCCTAGGTCACAAAATGAGCTCAAGGGCAGCCTGAACTGCATAGTGAACTATTGTCCCAAAAGACCGGAATTAAAAAACAAAAAACCAAATTCCTCGCCCCCAAGAAAAGACATGAAAATAAAAGGGTCTACCTACATGTTGGGACATGCAGGTGTATACTCACACGCACACACACGCACACGCGAGTTCTCTAAACCATACACAGCCTCTGAAGGCCCTGGGAGCCCAGGCCCCACACCCAGCGCCTGGCTTGGCCCCCATCTTGCAGCGTGACACTTACACAGCATCTTAGGTGCCTGCGTTCCGCGCCGGCCCAGCGGCCGGAGTCCGCAGATGGCACAGGCCTTGGCCAAGCGCAGCTGCTGCCGGTTGCGCCGCAGCATGGCAGCAACCCCATGCGCAGGTAGAGCAGGCTGAGAGCGCCCATGGGCAGGCAGAAGAACAGCAGCGCCGGGGCCTGTGCCACCAGGCTGTAGGCGTCCCGGGAGCGCACAAGGGTACACACGGCCAAGTCGGGCACCCAGCCCCGGCAGGGCACCCACAGCTGCTGCAAGCCGTGCAGGCTGGTGTTGGGCACCGAGCAGAGCATGGCCAGGCCCCAGGTGAGCGCGAGCACGCGGCACACGTGCACCCACGTCACCCCGGCCCGCGCCTGCAGGGGGCGCACTACCGCCACGTAGCGCTCCATGCTCAGGGCGGTGACGTGGAGCACCGAGGCCAGGCACACTGTCTCAAAGAGCAGCGTGCGGAAGTAGCAGCCGCTGCGGCCCAGCAGGAAGGGGTAGCTGCGTGCCATCTCGTAGAGCTCCAGCGGCAGCCCGAGCAGCAGCACCAGCAGGTCGGCAGCGGCCAGGCTGAGCAGGTAGAGGTTGGTGGGCATGCGCATGGCCTTGCAGCACAGGATGGCCGCGCAGGTCAGCACGTTGCCCGCAGTGCCCACAGTGAAGATGAGTAGGTACGTGGCGCACATAGGTACTAACAGCTCCATCTGCTGCGGCCCCAGGTACTTAAGTCTCAGGGCCTCATCTGTGAGGTTCAGGTCCTCAGGGTCGAAGTCCCCCACGGGCTCACTGCCACTGCAGAGGACGAGGTTCCTTGCGTCTCCGGGGGACAAGTCTCCGAGGGGGACGGTGGGGACAGGGCAATCGGGGCAGAGAGGAGTCTGCAGAACAGAGGAAGAGGCCCAGAAAAGCCACCTGAGAGACCCCGGCTCTGCCCTAGCTCAAACCAAAAGAGCATGGAGCTGACCTTTATCCCACGAGCCACCGAGAAAAAGAACTCGGCCGTCCACGGTAAAGTGCGTTACGACGTCAGAAACATAAACATGGACCTTCTCTTTTGTTTTCTTTTCGTGTGTGTGTGTGTGTGTGTGTGTGTGTGTGTGTGTGTGTGTCTGTGTGTCTGTCTGTGTGTCTGTGTGTGTACCGCGCACTGAGCCCAGGGCCTTCTCACTGAGCATCCTCCCTAGCCCTTTTTATTTGCAGACAAGTTCTAAGTCATTAAGTAGCCCAGGCTAGCTTTAAACTTGCGATCTTCCTGCCTCAGCCTCCCAGAGTGCTAGAATTCTACATGTTCCGAATGGTTCCATGGAAGTAGCTCCTGATTCTAGTGCAGGCTCTCGACTCCAGGCTGTGTGACTTCTGTTGGGAGGTCCAGGCCAAGACCATGGGGCACAGCACCTGCCTGACCTCCGAAGGCTCGTCATCATGATGCGCATGGGACTGAGTCATATGGGGACCCAGTGGAATCTCATAAATTACAATGTTTGCTCCAAAATTTAGAATGTTTGAGTCTCAATGGCTCTGTCATTTTGTTTTTCTTTTCTTTTCTTTTTCAGTCTATTTGTGAGACATGGTCTCGCTATGTAGCCCAGGCTGGCCTGGAACTCTCAGTGATCCTCCTGCCTCAGCCTCCCCAGTGCTGGGATTACAGGCATGCAGCACCCTGCCCAGCCCTCCTGCCTGCTACTTCAGGAGCTCCCTCTCCTCTCCCGAGGTCCCCTCACCCAGTCGGAGGGCAGCAGCCGCCAGGATCCAGCCGGGATCTGGAGAAGTGACCCATTCAGGAAAGGACAGCAGCGTCCCGAGAGGCCACGAAGCCCCAGAATGACCTACCCTCCCGGCCCCCGGCCCCATCCCGGCGGTGCGCACCTACCATGCTGTTGGTCGGTCCCTTGGGGTAGCCCACTCGCTGCTGGACAAGCCGCTGACCGAGCAGCCGAGCGCGGTGCGCGTTCCCATGTGTCCCCGGCAAGGGGCAGTGTGGCGCCCGGGCCGCTGCGCCAGGGTCCAGGCTGCCAGCGCCCGCGTCCCAGCCATGGCAAGAGTTGCGGGTCCCGGGCCCAGGGCCCAGCCCCCGCCCCCCATCCTCTTTCCCAACAAGACCCGGGGCCCAGCCTGGCAGAGAGAAATCCGCTCTTTTGCCTCCTGGTCCTGCGACCCCAGCCCCTCCCTGGCGCCCCTCTGCTGACCCCTCTGCTCCCCTCCTAACCCGAGGATGCCTGCCCCCATCCTGGCCCGGGGTGCCCCTCAGTCACAAGTGCTACCTCCATCCGGAGGTCCCTGCAGCAACCCCGCAGGGACCCTGGGAGGGGCAGAGGGCCCGGTTCAGACTCAGGTCGTCAGGTCCTCCCAGAGACCATGCCCCTAATGTTCACGTGGGACCCATGGCCCCAGAGGGTGGGAACCCCAGTCGCTCTAGGAGGGGCCAGGGACAAACCGCAGGAGCCAAGAGGCCGCTTCAGACAGTGCTTGTCTGGGAGGATGGCACAGTCCAGCAATCCCAGCAGTAGGGAGGCTGAGGCAGGAGGATCGCCAGTTCAAAGCCAACTTGTGTTACCCAGGCACACTCTAACTCAAAAAACAGACAAAATAGAACTAAAAGCCTTGTGCCTCAGTTGCCTTCCTGCGGGCAGGTGGGCAGGTGGTGTGGATGCTGTGCTAAGCAGCCCTGGGTCTCCATGGCCCGCTGCCACAAATGTCGGCTTGAACAGTCACGTTCGTGGCCGAGGCGTGTGAGTCACATTCTGGGCTCCAGGACCCAGAGAGACTCAAGGATCCACCCCCAAGCTGGCTTCCCAGGAACTCGGGGTGTAAACAGTCCTGGCCCAGCTGTGGGAAACACAGGCCATGTCCCCAGGGGCTCAGGGTCGCCTGTGTGGAGCTGCTAGCAGCCTGGCCCTGAGCATGGCCACTTGAGACAGGTGGGAACCAGGGCGGCTCCACCACATGTGAGGAGTGTCAGGCTCACCCACCACTGGAGTGTGCTGTTGCACACACATAGAGGCATGCATACACATACACAGACATGTGCACGCGTGCGTGCACACAGGTACATGCATGCAAGCACGTGCACAGACACAGACTCTCAGGCGGTGTTCTGAGTGCACAAAGTGTGGGGACCGAGTGTGGCCCCCACACCTCACTCCTGTGACGGTAATAGTGTCGGAGAACCACCAGGCTGATGGGGCCTGGGGCCCCCCTTGCAGTCCAAAGGCCCTGGGTGGCCTGCTGCAGACAGGGCAGGGTGCCCCTCAGGACCAGGGACATCCTGCCACTCCTGTCCATTGGGCAGGGTTGACAGGGCCCCACAGGACCCCAGGCCTCTCCCTCGGCCCTGGCCAGGAGGACCGGGGACAGTGGGAGCTGAGGCAGGGGGTTTGAGCCCCAAATCCAGGTCCTGTCTCTACTCACAAAGACCCCATGGAGGGGCAAAGTGATGCAGGGGACCCAGCAGCCACAGGCTTCCTCCTCCTCCTTCTGGTGGTGACAGGAGCCGGCTGTGCAACCTCACCCGAGTCCCTTGGCGCCACCAGCCCAGCTTCTGGTCAGAAAAATAGTAAACTAGCAGGTGTCCTCAGGGCTGGGGCAGCCACGGCGCTGTGGCATTCATGTCCCCAGGGTGTCAAGGTGAGGACCCAGCTGTCACCGTCCCTGTCCCTCCAGTCAGGACTCCCAGGCCATGGAGTGATGGTGTGGGTGGAACTCACAGCACAGCACACAGAGTGATATCGACACCACTGAGCAGGAGGAACTGGACTGCTCAGAACTCTGGAGAAGCTTCCAGAGAGACTAAACTTCCCTGAGAACCCGAGGGCCCCAGGCCATGATGACAGGGAAGAAGTGGTCGGGCCACACAATACGGGGCCAGAAACAGCCTGGGCCTGAGCCTGTGTGACCCATGTCACTCAAGACAGAGCTTGTATCTCTTTGGGCTGCTACAGGACAACAGAGGCCATCCCGGTGCCTGCCCAGCCTCTGGTCCCCGTCCTGGGATGATCCCCTGACAGTGAAGATCGGAGGCGGATTCAGAGCTGGAGTACAGCCCCGCACTAGTAACTGGGTCTGAGCCCAGGAACCTGCCTGTCTGCAGAGATCACTGGGCCAGGATGTTGGGGGGTGTTGTTCGTTTTTGGTCCCAGAAATTGAACTCAAGACCTTACATTTGCCAGGCAGGTGCTGGGCCGCTGAGCTGTATCCCCCCTCCTCCTTGGGCTAACAGTTTCTGTTTTCTTTCTTTTTTTTTTTTTTTTTTTTTTTTTTTCCAGTTTCTGTTTTCTAACTTTTCACCTTGATATAACGTAAACATCTCACTTCAATGGGGTTTTTTGCTTTGCTTTTTGTTTTGGTGGTACTGAGACTAGAACCCAAGACCTTTGCACTAACTACATCTCCAGCCTTTTTAAAATTCTGTATTTTGCTACAGGGTCTCCTCAGATTACTAAACTACCTGGTTTGGGATTGAACTTGCCATCCTCCTGCCTCAGCCTCCCACAGTGCCAGGATGACAGGTTTTTCGGTAGAGCCCTGACTCGCACATGTGCCCTCCGGAGGGCAGGTAGTGAGGTGTGCGGTGTGGCGTGTCAGGAACCCAAAACCTGCCATTAAAGGGGTGCAGATGTCTCCCCTAGACTGACCCTGAGCTCCCACGGTAACCACTGCTCCACAGTCAGAAAATGCATCCAATGGCCAGAGACTCAAATTCCGCCCCACACAGCTCTCCTGAGATGGTGCTGCAGTGGGAAATTACAGAAGCCACTCAAAGAACTCCCAAGGTCCAGTCCCATAAATAGCTCTCATGTGGCTGGACCTGACCCTGTCACCCCTGCATGGAAGTCCTTCAGAGTCCCAGAATAAGCCCAGTGTGCATCTCAGCCCAAGGCCTGACTATCCTCTGTTCAACTCCCTCTGCCCTGCTGCCCCAGGGACTTTGCACACTCTGCTTCCACTCCAGGACTGGGGCCTGGCCCCCCTCCTCCTTCCTTGGCCTCTCAGCTCACTTCTGATGTGGCCCCTAACCTCACAGAACCCTCTTTCTTACCTTTGTTAATGTGTTGCAGTGTAAGATCTTACTTTTGTTTTGTTTTGCTTTTGGTACCAGGGATCAAATTCACAACCTTGTGCTTGCCAGGCAGGCATTTGTGCTAAACCCCTGACCCAGATCTTACTTTTGGTTGACTTTGCATTTACAGCCCTGTTTTCTGTTCTCTTAGGTCCAGAGTTTGAGGAGAACAGGCCCGGCTTTCACTTTCATCCCCCTGTGCCAGGGCAGCAGGCAGAGCATGTGACACACAGAGAGGCAATGAATGAATGGATGGATGGGTGACAACCCTGGGGCCCCTAGGCCCACCCAAGTTTGGGTTGGAATCTGTGGGTCCTACCTCCTGCTACACCCTCGCCAGCACAGAGATGGCTCCTGTTACCAGGCCCAGTTGCCCAAGGGCCTTGGGGGCCCCCAGAGACTCGGACAATTTGAGCAGGGGTGAGGGGACAGCTACCTGGGGGGAGGTGTCTCATAGCGCCTAAGCACAGCAGGACCAAGGCCGAGAGCCAGGGATGCGGTTGCCCTGAGCCACACAGGACAGGCCTGAGTGTCACAGAAGGATGTGGCCTGGCCCCAGGCCGAAAGCTCAAGGGTGATGGCTGGATGAGGGTGGGGGCTGCTACTACTGTACTGTGCTATGAGTGACACTGCCAGATTCAATTTTTAAAATGTTCACATAGAGACTGGGGTATGGCAGTGCACACGTGTGTTGCCAGCACTCAGGAGGCTGAGGCAGGAAGATCATGGTGAGTTTGAGACCACATATTGAGCTCCAGGGCAGGTTGGGCTACATAGCAAGAGGCTATCTCAAAAAACACAGAAGGAGGGCTGGGGATTTAGCTCAGTGGCATAAGCACCTGCCTTGCAAGCAGGCAGTCCTGAGTTCGATCCCCAGTACCAATAAAAAAGAAAAAGACAAAAACAACAAAAAAAAAAAAAAAAAAAAAACGGAAGGAGGGAGAAAGGGGCACGGACCCTACAGATGACTTGGCCTCCTGTCCAGGCTGGACAACATCAAGCTTTAACTTCACTGCCACTGTCTCACCCTGATTCTGCCCCTTCTGGAACACAGCTCCGAGCCTAGGTCCTGGGGTCTCCCCCAGCCCCATCTCCCACTCCTGGCTCTACCAGGGAGGCCCATCAAAGTTTCCCGAGAGCAGACACCCAAGGCCAGGGGACACCGCTGCTTCAGGCTGGCCCAGAACTGCCGACAGGAAGGCGGGCACGATACCCCAAAATAAGCATTTCAGACTGGCGGGTCCCCCAGGTGACGGGGTGGGGGGAACCCCGCAGGTCATGGACCGTACTGGAAACCACAGATGCAGACCTCTGGCGTGGTTACTTTAGGCTCCAGTCCGAGTCTGCCCCACTGCTGGCAAGTGAGAGAAATTGCAATCAATTTCATCTCCCAAAGAGAAATAATCCATTGCTGTGGAATTCTTGTAAGGACTGAGATAATTTGGGGAATCATTTGCCATAGTTCCCAGCACATAGTAAAACTGTATAGAAGCTTTTTGGGAGGGAGTACCTGGGATTGACCTTGCCCTTGGCATGAAGCACTTATGCCACTGAGCTATAGCGCAAGCCTCCTGGATAGAAGCTTCTTATTAGTCGAGGCGTAGCCATTTGGGTGGGAGAAAATACTGAATTACAGGCTTTGTAGAGTTATTTGACTTTTAAAAACATCTGAAAAAAGTCATCTGCATTTGGTCGGGAGTGGTGGCACACGTCTGTAATCCCAGCACTCAGTAGGCTGAGGCAGGAGGATTGTCGGTGAGGTCGAGGCCAGCCTGGGCCACACAGTGACACCCTGTCTCAAAAAAAAAAAAATGCACTGCGACCCGTGTGTGCCCAGACCTTACGGAGTGACAGCGAGTCTCAGCTTTGGGGTGGCAGTGGGAAGAAGGCACAGGATCCAGACCTCTCCTCACCCCACGCTTGGGGTTTTGGGGCTTAAACTCCACCCAGAGAGAGATCAGCAGTCCACGGAATCAAA